CACGTTCCACGAACGAGTTGTTTGTCACTAGACATTACTGCCCTTCAGAGATCTCATCTATAGTTACTCACCCTTATAGTACGACTGGACAGAGTAAAGAAACCCAGGTAAGACGCGAGTGCCGATTATCTAGCTTCAGCTTTCTAACATCAGTCAAGGAATACTACTGCATGGAGTATTGCGGGAGAAAGTAAAAAGTTAAAAATGTAAACAGCTCCATCGAAACGTAGTCAAAAATGTCACATTCGGTCACCTGTTGACACCCAATCGTCCTGCTATCTCTTATGTCTCGGTTTTCGGACCTCGTCTATTCTTGGTGTTCATCAACGATTTGGCGAGATCAATTACTTCCGGTTTCCTATTTTTCGCTGATGATTTCAAGAGATGGCGAAGAATCAGAGGACCGGACGACCATGAACGGCTCCAGTGCGATCTTAACACAGCGTCGAACTGGTCAGTTCTAAACGCCCTACCGTTCAACGTAGACAAATGTCGCGTCGTACAATTACGCCACAGACATAACTACACTTATTTACTTGGGACAAACGGATTGCTGAATAGTTCCCAGGAACGTGACCTTGGTGTGATCGTACAGAGCAACCTCAACTGTTCAAAACAGGCTGAGGTAGCTGCGAAAAGAGGCAACCAGCACGTCGGCATGCTGCGAAGGGCATTGGGGAGATTTGACCCATCCATCTTCCCATCGATGCACAATTCCCATGTGCGCACGCATGTTGAGTACTCCATCCCAGCTTGGCAACCTTGGTTGAAGCGCGACCTAGAAGCGATAGAGGCACCACAACGAAGAGCAACAAAGAATGTAAGGCACCTGCGCTCTCACTCTTACCACCGAAGGCTGAATTTGTTTGGAATTTTCAGCGGACGTTATCGAAGGCTGCTCGGCGGTCTCATATTAGCGTATCAGATACTGACTGACCCCAACCACGTATGCCGTCATTTTCTGAAACTTAGCCACAACACGCAGCTCAGGGGTAACTGCTTAAAGTTGAAGGAACAATATAGCCGTCCAGAGTGTCGACGGAATTACTTTTCCCTTCGGGTTTTCCAACCCTGGAAAGCACTCCCAGACTCAGTTGTATCATCTTCTACCTTGGATGTTTTCAAAAAATGATTAGATGTTGCACTTAGCTCCCAACATTTTGTTACCTAAGCTGCTCTATTGTGGACTACGCCAAGCATGCTTTGTAACTGGATTTATGGATCAAATGGACCTAACTGAGCGGCCATATTTCACTTTTCTCACTCCTTACCACAACGATCACTGCACCGCAGTGTCTATCTGAACGTTTACGCGCGAAAACTTTTTAATTTTGCGCTGATGTTAATTATCAAAGTATTCATCTCAGCAAACGTTCGATAGAAAACTCAGACATAGTTTGATTTCATCATATTCACCTCAACCATCCTACAGGACTTGTCAAGCACTTGCTTTTATCCCGTGATAAACCATTATTCATTGTCCATGTCGCATTAAAATATTTTCTGACTTTCTGTATCACTACACTCACAATATAAGATGTCATGGCCAATGTGCAATCGTCCTCTGGATCGAATCGTGGTAAAATGTAAATACAATAATATTTTGAAATGCTCTACAGCTTTGACTTCCTCTACCAGTTCTGGTAGACTGAAACAAAGGTTGACCACTTTACTTTCAAAGCGTTGAGAATGGCGAACTCGCTTATATCCGGTACCGCAAACTTACATGGTTTCATCGTGTGTTGCATGGCGTTCGTAAGTGCAGCGGCGATTTCAACATGGAGGAATCACCGTGAGGTAATATGCGGTAGGTCACAATGACCTGGACTTGCAACCGATGGTAGGACCACGTGTAGAGTCCCGTTTTCTCCTGCTGGACTTGTTGTGGTAATACTAGTAAACTAAGAATGAGCGTAGTGGAGAAGTACTGGACCCATTCGATCATCTGTGCCTTGCCTCCGGTGACTGGACAGTAGGCGAGCGAGTCGCACACAAAAATCGGTCTTATGATGGCACAGAACAGGCAAGTGGCAAACTCCACCAAAAGGTACAAAAGCTGCACTTGAGCGCCCAAAGCACACATAGTCCGTTACGACTTAGCCAGCGCATGTTGTCCTGAGACTTTAAATTGCAATGCGAGAATACAAGATTTTTCACTGAAGACGTGAGATGAAGCGGTTGACAGTCAAGGGAGTAAATTCGGCCGTCACCACCTCTCCGCAGGCCCATGAATACCGACACTGTTGGGGTTGAACAACAGGCAGATATCTGAAGACCACATAAAGAGGCGATTGAGATCTTTCAGAAGTAAACCGCAGTCATCGGAATGCTAATACCTTTCCTACTCGTCAGGTCGATAGCAAACAGAGTACACGGTAACCAAAGAAGCTGAGATGAATCGTTGATGTAGATTAGAAACAGAGTGAGTGCTAGCGCCGTGTCTTGCGATACGCTACTAGGAGATGGATACCAGTCAGTTAGATAGCCATCCAAGTCCAGTCAGAAAGTCCTGGATCAACTGGCGCAGTGATTCAGTAAAACTGCACGCTCTCAGATTGTGAAGAACAATGCCATGGTTTACCATGTCGAACGCTTTACTGAAATAAATGTACGTAGGTCGGCAGACCTTCCCTGGTTCCTGCCTACAATTAATTGTGATTCGAAAGCAGCGGGTTACTAATGCATGGGAGGCATGACAAACGCCGTGCTGTGACGGCGTCAGCAGATCTTTTGCTTGTAATGCCTGTACTGAACCCTTTTGCAGCATCGTCTCGGCAACCTTGGACAAAAGAGATGTCAGACAAATTGAGTTGCAGTTGTCCACTTTGCTGGGGTCACCGTCTTTGGGAATAGGCTTTGCCACTGAGCATTCCCAGTTGTTCGGCAATAAAAGTTCGGACAGCGACCTGATGGACGATCAGTCGCAGAAGGTGTGATGATGACCGATAAGTACATGAGAATCAGTGGGTGGAGTCTGTCAAAGCTAGCGTGTTTGGTGCCGTCAAGTTTGGCGAGTAACTGATACATCTCTTCAACATCGAAAACCAAACTGTTTGGTTCGGTAAACCCGGTACACGGGGAAGTCGGTACAGAGACTAGGTCATTTGCAACTACGGAAGCGAAGCATGCTGTCAACACGGACACATGAGGAACAATGTAAGTTTGAACATCTCAACATTATTTTCATTGTCGTGCCTTGCCAAGATAAAAAAAGAGGCCCCGGACATAAATAACACACATTATTCGAAGCCACGACCGCATCTCAAAACGTAAAACTAGATAAAACTTCAGTATGAAGCGCCCCATCAAATATACGACGTTTCAGCTTTGTAAAGTCCGTTAATATTTCAAGGCTTGAGAAATTACCACCGCGTATGGACGAAATGACAGGATTAATTAAGTTTGTATAGGAATGCATCGTTAATTTCGAGTGTTTTCATTGATTTTAAGACAAAGTTGAAAAGAACACAATCGGAGTAATCTTCTGCGGTGGAGCGCTTTGTAGGTTTTGGTTTCGTAGGCCTCCTCAAGTTCCCAGAATCACTATAGCCAATGGATCAATCGGGTAAATTATTATCCCGAATGAATACGTACTTATTTACTTCCCGTGTTGTACTATCAAAAGTTTGAATTAGATTCACATATCTCCGCTGTAGTAATCTCCCTAGAGAAATCGGCAGGTGTCCTTCTGACTGCGTTTTCGTCAGTGAACCTGCAGAACCTGTATCAATGCAGATCACCCGATCGGATGAGATTCACTTGTATCGGAGATCGACCATGAATTTCTTCCTAAATCTTTTGGCTGTTGTGTGATCGGATTACTCCACTAATTCGGATTAAACGCCAGGTATTAATTAGAAGCACCTAGCTGTGTTCTGTAGCCAATCAGACAAAATATTCTTCTAGCGTCGCGCTACATATGCTTACGTAAACAGGTTACAACTATACTCTCATGCTGGTAATCGTCACAACTCCTAGCCAGTTAGTTGGCATTCACCATTTCATTTACTTCACAGTACATTGTGTGCATAATGCAGCGAAATATTAATTTAGACTAATAAACAAATCAACCAAATTTACTGAAGACCGCGCACCACTTTTTCGGGTGGGATAATAGCAACTTGTGGACAGGCAAACTCTCTTAGCAACACATTTAACGATATTTAATGTGTAATACACTACAAACAAACACTGATATATTTAGCGACTAAGCATGTTACGAGACTGCTCCATCTGTTCTACCAAATTAGCGTTAGGACTATAGCAATTTTCAGTACACAACATCTTCCTCCTCGGGGTGAAACTATACTGGTGTATCAGATCGCCAATCGTTCAAACCATGTACGCCAAAACGTTTTACACTTTGTCAAAACACTTCAGTGGGAATTTACTTCTAAAATTTGGCCGCACAGTTTGGCTGGTTTGAATGCTGCTGACATGTTTTCGCCCCTCGTATATCAGACCGTGGAGCACTCCGCAGGTTTTCGTTACTTCCGTTGCATCATAATATGATTTAGCTGGGGTCATTAGCAAACCGCACTTCGCTAGTAAACAGTGCGCACAATAACAATATGTTGTACGCACCCCGATGTGCATTATTTCTTGGCACACCTGTATGTTGTTATTATTATTTTCCCATACTGTCCTTGTTAAATGCTTGCTTTTTGCCCTTGGTAAATTAACTGTTACATTCAAGCGAATTAACAACATCTTGCAAAGGGAGCAGTGCTCTTAACCCATAGCTAAGGAATTGCGGCCAAAATCAAAGAAGCCAAACTGGAAACAGTTATTGTTAACACTTGTGGCTTGTGCCTCCTCTGTCGCGTATACACAGGGATAGGTAGGGTCAGAAAGCTCAATAACGTATTCAGGTAAACCGAATAACGGTAGGAGTTGGTTTAGAGGGGAAAGTAAGCTGTGGCACAACAGTGTGGAAATGCTAACAGTTGTACGTATAAAGGATTTGATCAAAAGAATAAATTGTAAACAGTGTGCAAAACCTAATAGTCTTTTTCACGTTCACTGTACGGTTGGCGTTCCCGGAGCAGCGTTGAACTTGGGTATAATCCTGTTCCGTAACTGTAGGGTAGAGATGCGAAGGAAGAATACATGCCTTGTGAAAGTAACAACATACTTATATAATAACAAGTAATGTGATCGCTATTGGAACCCGAATTCTTCAACACCTTTACACTGTCAATAAAAGTTTGTTCACTCGCTCTGCCTACACTGTCCGAACAGCAAATCAACCTAACCGTTGCTCTGACACCGGTTTCGTCACTGTAATTATGTAGTCCCGGTCGATCTGTATGAGTAGGAAGTAGACGGTATCTGTCTAACCATTGCGTTATGACTGAACCAACCACCGTACATTTCTGTGATTTAATCTTATAACACTTTTAACGGCTCATAGATGAATCAACTAAAGTAGTTGTTTGGCTAAGTGAGTTGTTCTCTGGAAAGCAATGAGAATGTCACGGCAAGTCAACCTCATCGTGTTTACCAACTGCGTGGTTCGGGTAAATCTGGTTCCATCAAATTGTTCGCAGAGTATTCCAGGACGTGCTGGGTATCCGCGTTGCAAGCGTTTTCAAGCTAAAAGCTACATACGTCTTTTTAACGACACCACGACGTGGCGAATATGCCTCGCTATTTAAAAAAGTACTCCTTGCACATAAAAATGGTTCGACCCACTCCGGAGACGTCGGCCATCCACCTCAAAGATTTCCATTGATTCATTTGCACGCTGACGTTCCGATCGATCCTAAGCACAAATATAGCATCACATGTACAAATCCAAGGGCCTATCTTGTTACATACACATATACCAACATGGTTGGCGGCATCCGCTTACGGATTTGCCTGTCCATGTGACCTCCATACAGCATCTACAGGAAGCCTACGCCTACAGAAGGACCATGAGTGGCTTGCGCTGAACCACCCACAGGCCCAACCACACACCTCATATCCAGTGTAAACCCGAAGGATTAAGACCGGGAGGCATGTGGATGGGAGCCAGGTTTCATCAACGGAGCCGGCCCACACTCCTTCACAAACATACACAAACACGCTGCATTTGGGGATCAAACGCACACAAGGCGGTGGCTGGACTGAAGTCCGCTCCACACAGATTGCACGGAACCACTTTTTGCGTCTAGCAGAGCCACGAGGACCGCGCACCCCCTCGCAGCAAAGATACAGTCTCCTGGAGCCAGTATGAACGAGGTAGTGGGTAATAGACAGGTAGGCACCTTGTCAACACGCATCTCGCGCGCAGCCATACCGGGGATGTCAAACAACAGCTAATCACTTGAAATGACATTATCAAATAACAGTTATCGAATAGAGCATACGGATATACCGACTTCGCACTTCGCTACATGAACATATGAAATAAATTGGTTATCAACAAATCCGCGAAAAGTTCAAGATATCAGAAGAAGATATGTTACAAAATGGTTTAAACGCGAAAAAGTTAACGAATTACATAAATCCGCTTCACACGTGGGTAAGTAAAAAGAAGCGTATTCAGCCAGACATTTAAATGATTAACCAAAGAAACCATTGACAAAACATAGCAAACTAGTTACGCGAAATAAAGCAAGTCAGCACGCAACCATGCCCTTAGTAAATCGAATGCAGCGTACCTACCAATCCTGAGCCGGTTCTGCTGATCTTCTAATCAGGACCCTTTGCATTGGCATTAAAATGAGGTGAAAAATAAGCATAATACTAGATAGGAAACATACCTTCTGAAATAAAGAAACTCAACACACAAGCACGCGGTTATTAAACCGACTGCAGCGTACCTGCCAATGCTGTGCCCGTTCTGCCTACGTTCACAGCCGCATCCGTCATCGTTCTGATGCATGTCTTGAGTGGCCTCGTTCTTGGCTCATTCTGACCCATGTACTCGCGACCGCGCGTGCTGCAGCACTATGCGCTCGACTTCGATGGAGTACAACCTATCGGCGGCTGTCGCTTCCGCACCTACTGTTTGTTCGCCACATACAAGAGCGCTTTCCCTTGCACCTCGGAAACTGCCTTGGTGATCAAACCGCGCCAAGTACGCCAATCAATCGCTTTTCGTTCCCGATACCAACATACATACATAAATTTGTGTGAACTTGTAATGTTTCTGTATAATAACAGATCATTTGTATTTTCACTATCATCATGCCTATGCAGGTGTGCTTCGCATTTTCCCGAATAGACCATTTCGTTAGTTATGATCATTCTTGGGCATATAGTGAGCCACTGTACAGCTGACCAGCGAACTAATCTGTTAGATGTGGAAAGAAGCGTTAGACGAGTGCGTCAACTTGTACCAGAACTTGCAGATGTCAGCAGCCCAGTAGCTGAGCAGTGGATATGACGCTGTCAAACTAAAAAGCGAACCCTCCTGTTTAGAATATTCCTGCAAGGGCTTCTTATAATGAAGGGAATAATCCGGGCGTGCTTGTAACCTTAGCAGAATGGCAGTCAATTTCAACAATCAGTGGTATATTGCAAACAAATAGTCTGTTTACTATGTTCCACCGGATGGTCGGTCAATGGTTCCGAAAAGAAAACAAACAACACCCATAAACAGTGAGTAACCACAAACACCGAACTGGAACTTTATAAATTTGTGAATCTGAATTTAATACACATGGTTTAGTACAAATATTAAAGCTACCGACCTTGGTTATCCCAGCAAGATGGGTGTGGGTTGATGCAGTTTGGTTTTCTGATTTTCATATAGATCATTTATGTTATATGATGCGGTGTGGTGTAATGAAGGGAACGCACTGTCGATACTACTTATGAACATAAGTGACCTAGGGTTGAAACAACAGCTGCTGGGGGAAATTTCATATGTAGTAAACAGGTAGAGAAAGCGAATACTACCAATACTTCAGCCGACTGTATTTCCTGTCAGTTTGAGACTGTGGCCTCTCAGACCGCTGTTATGATTGAACTTGTTAACGGTCACTAACACAAATGATTAAGGTTGCATAAATCCTAGTAAAAGTGTTAAACTAAACATACGAACGCTGATAGCGTCCATTCAGAACTCCCAGAATACTCAGTCGCTGTTCGTAGATTAAGTGGTATAAGTTTTGATGGCCCGATATTGCGAGACCTTCATGACAGTGAGATCTCATTTTGATCCTGCGTATCATAATTAAGTCGCATATTCCGCGTGAGCCTGTACACGTGCAAGAAGTTGTTTAACAGAATATACATGGGTCGAAGGGACTAAATGCTCTTCTTTAGAACCCCAAATATTTCTTGCTACTTCGGACTGCTCCGAGCACACCGAAATCTTCCTCGCGAGAAAAACGCCACGGCTTCTGGTCTCCCAGTTCATAAGTGTGAACCGTCTGGAACGGTAAATACAGAACTTGGCGTTTATTTAAGAGGAATTACAAGCAATTCCGGACTGATTATCCATAAGTTATATGGAGGCCGTTTAGAAGCTGCCCTCGAACATTTCACAGTTTGACCGTTGACCAAACTTTGACGTAGTCAGTATGAAGTAACTAAATGAAGGTGAGTTAGTTCACCAGCATGTTAAGCAAGATCAAGAACAAGTTGCATACAATGTTTAAACTGATGGAATGCCTTTGTGCTATCGAGGTAGACAACATCAACTTACAGCCATCACTGATACAAGAGATATTAGTTGAAAGCGCTGGACGGTAGTTAGATGAGTCGGAACGACTCTCTCCTTCGTAAAAAGGAATTACTTCCCATATTTCCAAGCTAAAGGAACACGTCCGTCATGAAGATATTACTAGAAAAACGGCGTAAAAGTTTTAGTTACTCTCTTAGTTTACATGGCAAGTGCCCTTGAGAGAATATCATCAATTCCTGGGGAGCTACGTGCATTGCCTTAGACTTCTCATCACAGGTTCTGCCGCAAAGTAAAGTTTCACAACCATGGTGTTGGCGCACTATGTTTTAAATGACCACGATACCACAGAACACATTGAAAAGTTAGTGTCTATTACCGCTGGAGAGCATTCGCCGCTTCTTCCGCGGTCCTTTTTAGCTTGACTGCTGTTCCCAAAGGAGAAAATCCCTTTCAAAGGATTACGTATGATTGATTGACTGGCTTACCTGACTACCTCTTCGTGGTGCCAGCTGGGTGATTCGGGATTATCCCGTAGCAGCGAAACATTCAGCGGCAGTGTTCCAGGAGGTGGTGGGTTTTCGCCTGGCAGCGTTCTCCCTATAAAAAGCCACATAATGCTAGTTAACCATACTACGACCTGGCGGATGTCATTCGACACTAAATAAAGTCACTGCCCGTTGTTTCACCTTGTTGGAGCATTGTAATCCTTCAGCTTGACTTTGAATTGCTCCGAGTATCGTGCTCCCGTTTGGCAGCCAGCTAAACGAAAGGTGTATGCATCAAGTAATTAGTCACCGGCTCCCAATGGGCGTGATTCACGGAATCAGCCTTGCTGCCTTGTGGGTTAGGTCCCTATGACCGAAGGCTACAGTTGGGGCCCTCTAAGTCAATCCCCACCCTCGGCCTGGGAAACCGGGAAGCTGTATGCCCACATACCACATGCAATGATGGATTTATGACTTTCTGCACACGTTTCTTGCTCTCTGGAAAACCACTTTCACCGAAGTGCTGGCGGTCGAGCATGCTTAACCTTATTCTATCGCACCGTAAACCACCTTCTTTGTTCCACGTTTATTCAATCCTCCTGTTCTCAGTGCATTGCAAATAAACACGGTACCTTTGGCTTCATCAATGAACCGCACAAGACCGATCGCACACATTCCAATACCAACAACAAAGCGTTTATTGCACCCCGCTTAATTTTCAAGTTAGCTGCGTTCAAGGTTCGAACGCTCATGCAGGTTGGTTTATAAGCTGCTCTCACACACAGCTTGGAAACCCACTTACTCGACGTTTGGCGCCTAACGGAAACTCGTTTACAAGAGTCCAGAACAATACTGCGATTGCTCTTACCATCCCCAAGTACCAATTGCCCATTCACTTTATATGCATCTAAAGATGCGACAGCAGTAACCTCTGATTGCGCCGGCGCAGAAGTTGCTTTAAGCGTGCTTGCTGA